AAAAAAAAAAAAACGAACATCCAAGTACGAACATTACAAGTGTCACATTCATATTTCAGCAAAATACGTCTCACGGTGTTAAAACTTTCTTCAATTCATTTCATTCAAAATCAAAAAGCAACCTGTAACACCAACCAGTACCAAACCTCACCTGAGCATAATCAGTTCTTACTCTATTCTCTGTTTTTAAATCGCATTTATTGCCAATTAGTATGTGTGGGGTATCTTTAGAAGCTGTAACAGAATGTTTGTTACATTCCGCAATCCAACCGGGCAACGCTTGAAAAGAACCAGGATCACTAACATCATAAACGAAAACTACGGCATTAACGTTACGATAATAATGAGAAACAATTGATTGCCGATACCGCTCCTGACCTGCCGTATCCCACAGTTGCACCTATAATTTGTGAATTGTTGAAAAATAAAGCTACCTGCACGACAATTCATATTTTAAAGAATCTATTAAAAATACTGCTTTACAAATCTTTTATCTTAATAAGAAAAGAGAAAAAAATACCCGTATTAATTCTCCGTCCAAAATAAGAGACCTTTCACGAAAATCAACACCAATTGTGGCCTCAGTTTGCGCAGGGAACCTTCCATTACAAAAGCGAAAACTCAAACATGTCTTTCCAACCCCAGCATTACCGAGTATAATGACCTAAAAACGGTATTATGAAAACGCCCTACTAATTACGTAAAGCTTTCTAATTTGTTGATGAACAACTACAAAAATTCATCTTTCCTAAAAGCATACAAGATTCATTTCAGTCCTTAGACAGATATGAATGTGCGTATAACAATGGCAAGTACCAAATAAGCCTTGAAAATTACCTTGAAGACCCGCTTACTGAGCGGAAGTTTACTAGCTGCAGGAATACTCAGCGCTTTTGCAAGCTGTTCATGAGCAGGAGTTGTATGAGGTTTAACCGGAGCAGAAGAAGAACCATCCCCAAACGAAGGTGATGCTGCAGCACCAGAAGAAGACATTGGTGGACATGCTGCTGTGACAGAAGAATACGGAACACGAACGACTGTAGTGCCGGTTAAAGGGACAGATGTAGCTGTAATTAAAATGCTTCTTTAGAAACTTTTATATCTTATAAAAAAAAAGTGCTGTTCATTACAGTTAAAAGACACTACGTTAAAAATCATGGATAGAAACATAGTTGCTAATATAACAAACAAACACAGATCACCAAAAAGAAAAAAAAAAAAATGGAATGCAATAAGAAAAATAGGGATCCAAAGACAATCCAACACCTGGAATTGGCCTAGATGGAAAATGTAAATCTGGCAGCGGCATTGGTGGTGCGATAGTCGTTAAAGTGGTAGTTAAATCTGGGACAGGAAATACAGGTACTGGATGAGGTCTGGAGTTCGCATTTTGGCCAACATCACCTGCAGCCTCTGGTGAACTCATGATAATAAACTGAAAAAAAAAAAAAAAAGGATAGAAAAACAACAGTATCAAATACTGGACATCAGTGTAACGTCTGTAAAATTCGTTTTATTCAATAATAAGCAATCAACGAATTAAGGAAAAAAGTTGAATTTAGATTTTTTTTTACCCTGTTTATTACTGCCAATAGAAAACATCAGCTGTCTTGAAATTTATGGCGTAAATAAAAAAAAAAAAACCTGCTATTAATAATATAAATAATTGTTTAAGAATGTGTAAACTTATTTTTAAAGTGCAACAAATTCTTAAAAGATTTTGAAAAAAAAAAT